ATGGCTCTGTGAAGCAAAATACCAGCTTCCTAACATTGCCATTTGGTCTCCAGCAGTATCAAAGCAATCCCTTAAAACAGAATTGTTTTTCTACCAGGAAAAAAAAAGGGAGAAATTGCTGGTTTTTCTTTCAGAGCATCTTACTCCAATTTATACTTAATGGGCCTGGTTGCATTCTTTCTTCCTTCAATTTTGGAGCACCAACTTTGCCAAGTCCACGGCTTCTCTTTCATTAAAAACCCAATGAAATCATCCTAAAACTCTCATCATGATGGGTCCATTGTCTATCAAAAAGTATGACACTTTCATAGTATCCAATTAAATAGCACTTCCCAGTATCTCTATAAAGGAAAAGCCACTGCAGGTACCAGTTTATGGACAGGATAGTTACATTGTATGTATGTATGTATGTATGTATGTATGTATGTATGTATGTATGTATATCTAATTTAGAGACTGCCCATCTCACTTGCAGAGCAACCCCGGGTGGAGTACAATTAACAAGTTGGAGGAAGCTTCTTAGTTCAAGTGGTCTGTAATTATCTACCAGCAGCTTATCTGTCAGAACTAGATCACAGGGTGATTGTACAAAATAATTCAGGAAAGCCAAAGAAATGATCCCCATACAAATGAGTTACAAACATTTGGGTAATCTTTCCTGCTTTCAGATTACTTCTCATGAGTCTGCTGCATCCCTTAACCACAAAGACATTCTGCATTCTGCTTCAAAATAAACTGCTGGAGCCCAGGAACACATATAGGTAGTCCTTGACTTATGAACATAACCCGGTCCAAAATTTCCATTGCTAAGCAAGGCAATAGTTAAGTGACCTTTATGACACAGTTGGTAAGCAAATCTCTGCAGTTGTTAAGTGAATCATACTGTCATTGAGCAAACCTCGTTTCCACCATTGACTTTGCTTGTTTGCTTCAGGGTTACAAATGGTGATCACGTGACCCTGGCACAGTGCAATATCATAGATACCAGTTGCCAAGCACCCCAATTTTGATCATGTGACCATGGAGGTGTTTCAACTGACCTATGTATGACTGCATTCCCACTCACGCTAGTAATACTATTGCTAAATTTGCAGATGATACAACAGTGGTGGGACTTATCTTGGGGGAGGGATGAGTCTGCCTACTGAGATGAGGTGGACTGGTTGCTTTCGTGGTGTGGAGACAATAACTTGGTCCTCAACACCAATAAGATCAAGGAGCTTATAGTGGATTATAAAAGGAACAGATTAGACATCCAGCCCTTGTTTATCAATGGAGACCAAGTGGAGCAAATGGCCAATTTTATGCTTTCTGGGTGTTACCCTAAAAGAGGACCTGACCTGGGGTGCCCACATTGCAGCCCTGGTCAAAAGGGCCCAGCAGAGATTATACTACTGAGACTTCTCAGAAAACAACTGAATGAAAAACTGCTGGTGACCTTCTACCGCTGCACCATAGAGAGCATTTTAACATACTGCACCTCTGTATGGTTTGCCAATTGCACAGTGGCAGATAGGAAAGCACTCCAGAGGGTTAACGCCTTTGCCCAGAAGATCACTGGTTGCCCTCTCGCCTCTTTGGAAGAGCTTTATAGCTCCCGCTGCCTTAAGAAAGTTCAAAATATTCTCAAAGATACATCTCATCCTGGGAACCCTTTTTTGAACTATTACCATCTGGCAGACTAAAAACAAGGACAAATAGGCCAAAAACAGCTTCTATCCCAAGGCAGTAGCTGTTTTGAATTCTGCTGTATAGTACAGTGTTGGTGTGGTGTCGAGGGTTTCTGGTTCATTGTGTGAAGAGTAAAGGATGTGTGTTTATTTTCATGGTCATGATGTGCACTGAAGATGGTGTTTGATTTCGTTGTAGACGTGCAATGACAATAAAAAAAGTAAAGTAAGTATGAAAATTAGTCATGACACTTTTTTTCATGTTTTGCTTCTCATCCAAGAAACTTCTTCAGTTCAGTTTAGAACTAAACTGAATAGAAATAGAACTTAATAGAAAATCTCCATAAACAATTAGCAAGAGGAATAATAAACTACAGGGAGTCCTCAAGTTATAAATGTAATGGAGTATGACAATTACATTCGTAACTCGAGGATTTGTTGGAGTGAATCACATAAAACGAGCGTGAAAACTCCCTGCTTTCACCCATGCATTCAATAATCAAATGCACGGCTCATTTAAGTGCACATGAAATACTCAGGATGGGAAAGGCCATTGGGGGGGGGCTAGTGATGGAACAGGCCACCTGCTTAAGACCACCCAAGGCCTCCCCCAATCCACTAAGACAGTGATCCCCAACCTTTTTGACGCTGCGGCCCGGTACCGGCATCAGCTGGGCGCCGCGGCCCGGTACCGGCATCAACTGGGCGCCGCCATCTTTTTTTGACGAAAAAGTGCTTCCGGTGACCTCACCGGAAGCACTTTTTCGTCAAAAAAGATGGCGGCGCCAAGCAACCAGGGGCCTGGTAAGACTTGTTCCGCGGACCGGTACCGGTCCGCGGACCGGCGGTTGGGGACCCCTGCACTAAGATACCTCATGTTCCCCTCAATTGCTTCCCTTTCCCATTCTGCCACACCAGGTCAGGTCACTTACCTGGCAACGATCTAGTGAGCTGTCACCTCTACAGCCTCTCTACTGCGCAAGATCACAGAACTTCCAGTATTGATGCGCAAAACGTTTGCATGCCAATGGGACGCTTTCAGGCAGCGTGAAGCGTCCCATCGGCTTGCAAACAGTTTGGGCGCCTAGACTAGAAGCTTCTGGGGGCCGTGATCTCATGCGACTTCAGGTACTCTTTCTCTGCAAAAGTGGGTGAGTGCTTGAAGTCACGCAAGATCACAGCCCCCAGAAGCTTCCAGTCTTGGCACCCAAACTGTTGGCAAGCCGAAGGGAGGCTTTGGTTCAGTGAAATTGCGCTGCCTCAAAGCGTCCCATCAGCTTGCAAAACACTTTGGTAAGCCTTTGCCAGCAAGAACAGAGCCCGTGAGAGATGTGTCGGCCCTGCTTGGGCTCCATTCTTGCCGGCAAAGGATTTTTGAAAAGGTTTGCCAAAGCCTACAGGAAGATTGCATCCCCGTAGGTTCTGGTGGTCTTTGCAAAAAGCCTTTGTCGGCAAGAAAGGGGTGGGCGTGGGGAACTGCCATAACTCAAGGATTACCTGTAGTTAGAAAGAAGTCCTTTCTACATAATATAAACCTACATATTATACACACACACACACTCACAATCTTTCACACACAAATAGCAATTATATGTGAATGAATGTTAGATAAAACTTAGTTACACTGTTTACACATAAAAAGGATGTGTGCTGTTGAACTGTCATGCTTGAAAGTATTTATATTCCAGTAAAATGGTATACAGGAAAGTTTTAGAATAATTGCATTAGCAACGAAAATAATAATCTGCCTAGAGAGAAGCCCTTTCTAAATAATGTAAGAGTGCACTATATACACAGACCCACACAATGTCTCATAACATTTATCGCATAATGTATGTGGAAGAATGTTAGGTAAACCTCAGTTACACTGTTTACACATAAAAGAGCTTGTGTACTATCCAACTGCCATGCTTGAAAGTATTTACATATAGTTCCAGTGAAAATGATATACAGGAAAGTTTTACAACATTTGCATATGAACAATTTAACCCATATGAAATTATAATGTAATTTTTCCCTTCAAATGTTTTAAGCCCAAAGACTTTGTGATATTTATACAGTAATAACGTAGGATTAATGTAGGTTCAAATTTCAACTCACAATCTTTAAAGCAATTTAGAAAAGGTTAAGAAAAACACCAGCGAATCCTCATCTTGCACAGACTTGCAAAATATCTTTAATAGTCTTAAAGATTTCAGAGAAACAGAAATCTATGAAATCAAACTGAAACTTCAATTCATCAGGCTGATTTGATCTGCCAGAACTTCAACACTTTTCATTACTGCATATGCACACACACACACACACACAAGCAATCTAGAAAGTCCCACAGTCAAATGTAGCATTGAAAAGAAATATGAAAATCTACTACCAGAGCTGGAACAGGGTAAAGAGTGAACCAAAGAGAAAACCAAAACTCTCCTTGCTCCAATTCGGTCCCCCACCTAGCTCCAAAAGCCTCGCGCTCATTTCTACTTTACACCGGAGTGGCCACCGAAGAGTAAGCCAAGTTTTTAACTCCTAAAAAATAAAAAAAATAAAACCACGCAAGGAATCTATGCCAAAGCCTATAAATAACTCTGGGAAAGAAAGCGAAAGGAGCCTGGATCAAGCGTGGCAAAGAGCCAACGTCGCCGCTCTACCTCAGACGCCTTATTCCCAGACCGCGGCTGCAAAACGGCGTTAGATAAGTTGCAGTCGTCGAAGGCGCCGCTATATATATCTATCTCTCGGTGAAAAATCGCGCTCGGATTTCTAAGGGGTGGCCCCGTCGACCTGACCGTCGGGGGTGGAGGGGAAACGATATTCCGAGGTTACTCCTACTACGGCTTTCTCTGGAAGAATCACAGTGCCGGAGGCCCAAAACAACAACCACGACAACGAAACTTGTCAAGTCACGGCTGTAAAACTCGCGGCCTTGGAGCAAACCTTTTGCTCGCGCGCAATGCTGGAAGGCAAAAGCAAACCCGGTTGCGCGGAGAGGAGCTTGCAGCGCAGTTTCCTGCGCTCGCTAGAGACCACCTGCCACAGGGGCAGCCCCATGTCACCCACCCACCCACCGGACTCTTTGCAGAAAGAAGCAAGCGAGCATCCTTCACGCGTTTCCAAAGGCATCCCCCCTCACCTTCGGCCCAGCCAGCCCCCAACGCGTTTAAACGGGGATTCCTCACTTCCCTAACCCAACACCACCTTCTCTCCTCCCTCTGGGTGCATATCCACACCAGAGGCTCCCCACCACGGCTTGCGCAGCGGCGGGTCGGCCGTTGGACTTAAAGGTTGTTCCTTCTTTCGGCCTCCAGCCAGCCCGCTTTCTCGCGCCAGGTTGATTACCTGAAGCAGCTGCTCTGTTAGCGCAGCAGTACAGGATGGCGACGGTCAGGATCACCCCGCAGGTGGAAACGGAGCCTCGGAGCAGCCCCCTCATCCCTAAGAGCAAGGTGGGCGAATCGCAGAGGCGACGAAAGGCAGCAGCCACTTTGGCTTCTCCCGGGAAAAGTGTCCCCCGCGGGCGCTTCCCGAGCTCTTGAGTTACATTCCCCGCTGGGTGAACTTCTGGGTCGTTAGGGCGATGATTGGCGGAGGCGAAAGGCCAATCCCGTCTTTTTCCGCCTCTCTCGTCTCTCGAAGAGCCCCGGTCTGGTTGGAAGAATGCAAGCCGCGGGCTGGAAAATCCCGGGCAAAGTAGTGCGAAGGGCGGGAGAAATCGAAAGAGAAAGCTGCTCGGCGTGGCTGCGACCTTTAGCAGCGGGGGATTTTTCCCCAACCCCCACCCCCCAGTGTTTTGAGAAGAAATCACGCCTCATAGTCCTGATTGGGAGAAAGAAGGAACAATACAATATGTTGTTCCTTTTTAAGGTGCGGTAAGACAGCCCTAAAACAATGCAACCGGCCCTGGAAACTTTAACAACAGGAAGGAAACAAACATCGAATTAGTTCGAGCGGCGTTTCTCAACCTCAGTCACTTTTGAGGCGTGTAGATTTCCGCTTGTAGAATTCCCCGGTCAGGTGGTGTCCCACACACCATAAACGTTGCTCAAGTTAAGACCCCTGAGTTAGGGGGACTCTGCATAATCCATGGGGGATGGAGGTGGGTAGGAATCAAACCTTTAAACACCCAGTAGGGGGCTTTGCAGTGCTTTAATAATGATAATGAAAAAGAGAGAAAGAAAAGGGTATTAAGTGACTGGGATCCGTAAGCTGTGCTCCACCACTTCAGTTTTGAGCAAGGGGGTGGGTGGGACTGAGGAAAAATAATACACCAATATAATAGCCCTGCAGTCCACTTTCAACAGAGCGGGCTGAGAAACCACTTTTGTTCGATAAATTCTTATTGGGAAGCACCATTTAGAACAGGGGCCTTCAAACTTGGCACCTTTAAGACTTAAGACTTGTGGACTTAAGTCTTAAGTCCACTGCCAGCCAGCATAGCATAGAGTTGAAGTCCACAAGTTTTAAAGTTGCCAAGTTTGGAGATTCCTGATTTAGAAGCAACTCTTTTTTTTTTTGTAAATTTTATTTGAGTTTTCACAAAAAGAACAAATAAAACATCTTTTTTGAAAGCAGCATGATCCCAGGTTACATTTCTTCGTGCAGACACAAATTCAAGTTCATGCTCATTTTTATATTCTATTCCATATCTTATTACTATTTTACATTTTCTACATCCCGAGATGAAATAAATAAAAATAAAATTGAGAAAATTAAAAGAGGGGAGAAGCCATGTAGAAGCAACTCTTACAAAAATGATCTTTTTCCACATTTATTATTTAAAGTTGCCTTTAAATCAGTGCAAAACCTGGGACGGTTAAAACAATGAAATCATTGAAATGTCAATTGAAAAGTGAGGTCTCAACAGAGACAACATGAAGAATCAAGCATTGACATATCTAAAAAGCTCATAAAAACAATTTTTTGAACCATTTATTTCTCAGTAAAGATAATTTGAACCTCACTGGGACACCAGGATTGAAAATAATCTGTTTAGTAGCAGCCTGCTTCTTGGAGGAAAGGCAGGAGGCATTCACAGGAAACAAGCCTTCGAAGATCATTGTCACGGATGAAGTTTAATATTATGTATAAGTATAGTTTGCCATATTTAGTATACTTCTATACTAAAAGTATAAAAGTAGAGAATCCTAACAGTTTAAAAGTCAATGAGATCATTTTTGAACTATGTTCAGAAACGAATTGTTCACTTGTTTTTACACAAGAAGATAAGATTTTAAAAATGGGAGAGTTACTCCCAACCCACCTCAAGGGGTAGTTATTGTGAGCAAACTAGGAGGCTGGACCATCATGTGTGCTGCCATGAGTTATACAAATTAAAGATGAAATATACAGGTAGTCTTCAACTTCTGACAGTTCATTTAGTGACAGAAATTAAAACGGCATTTTAAAAAGTGACTTATGACCATTTTTCACACTTATGAATGTTGCAGCATCCCCATGGTCACGTGATCAAAATTCAGATGCTTAGCAACTAACTATATATTTATGACAGGTTCAGTGTCCCGGGATCATGTGATCATCTTTTACGACAGATTCACTTAACAACCATGTTATTTACAACTGCAGTGATTCACTTAACAACTATGGCAATCAAGATCATAAAATGTTTTGCTTAGCAACAGAAATTTTGGGCTCAATTTTAAGTCAAGGACTACCTGTAATGAAACCAAAACTATAATACTACAGTATTATAATACAGTGGAATCTTGGGTCATGAATGCTTCTGTTTGCGACCAAATCGGGTGATGACCAAAAAATCCACCCGATTTTTGATTCGGGTCACGATTCAAAAATCGGGTGGCAAACAAAATTGGCATGGAAAGATTCCCTTTCCATGCTGATTTCCCCTTCGGCGCCATTTTTTTTTGTTTTTTGTTTGTCCACACATGTGCAGACGGTCGTGCTTCCGGTCATGATCAAATCGGGTTGCGATCATAGTCCTGGAACAGATTATGCTCGCAACCCGAAGTTCCACTGTACCCCAATCAAGAAACTTTCAAGCAAGTCAAATAAGCCAAACAACCTCTAAGACCACCCAACAACCTCTAAGACCACCCCCATCAACACTGACAATTCAAGGCAGTAGGACAGGGTTGTCAAACTGAATTTCTTTGAGGACTGAATCAGCATTGTAGTTCTTCTCCACGGGCTGGTGATGGTGGGGGAGACAGGATGGATGCCTCCTGTAGCACCCTGCCAGCCAAAATGGGGCACAGGGACCTCGTATGGCCCCCACGCTCTGTTTTTGGCCTGGACAGCCTCCTGCAGCACTTTGCTGGCCAAAATGGCATGGGGCCGCATGAGGCCCCCGTGTCCCGATTTCAGTCTGGACGGCTTTCTGCAACACTTCGCCAGCCAAAATGGGGCACCTAATTTGGGTAATGAAATGTCTGCAAGAAAACAACCAAGCTCAGAGAGCACCAAGAACCCCTCATTTCAACCGAGCTAGCAACGTGCTTTATTGATGCTACAGTAATTGAATTAAAACTATAAAGATTTACCATTGCTATCAATAAACTTTAATTCAGTCATTCACTAGCAAATGAAAAACCAGAGTTGCTTTTGTACTGCGAGATGGGCAGCCGTATAAATAGTTTAAAATAAATTATCCCATTTGATGAACAAATTACAATATTTACCTAAATATACAATACGTTGGATTATAGTTTAACAGGAAGGCTCTAACCTAGCATGTCTAAACTTTCAAACATTTAATGCTCCTTAAGTAGTCTTGTAATATAATATTCAGAATAAAATGGTTTTCTTGTGAGATGGAAAATAAAAATCTAATCATGAACTCTATATGCACAAGAGGACAAACATTTTACTCCTTATGGAGCTCTTAATATGAGAGAAACTAAAAAACAGCTATTTGCTGTAATGCACAATTACATTAGGAATCAGAATGCTTGTTTACAGAATGCAAAAAAAAAAAAAATCCAATATGACATTTTTCAATTCAACAACCATTTTCCATTGCAATTCCTCTATAAATCAGTATGCTATTGCAATGCAGTCAAGAGAAAAAAATGAAAGTAAGGATGTCCTTGGATAATTTGTTTCAAAAACCCTTGCTGAGAAACCTGGGTGGGTTTAATGCAATAAATCTCAATTCTTTATATTTCTTTAGCCCAGGTGTTAGGCACTATCTCCTTTTCCAACTTTTCAGGGTTGTTAAGGAGATTTCTTGAGGCTTTTGTAGGAAGGACAGGATAAAAACACTTTTGTTAGTTGCATCAGTTGGCAATGTCCAATGGATCTTAGCTGACCTCAGGAAAAAAAGAAGCCAGCAAAGTTGGACCTGACATTAGTACTTGAATGGGAGGCTATTAGGAGAGCCATGGCAGTAAATTATACTAGGTAGTCAAACAAAAATTATTGGAAAAGTTTGGATGGACTGTTTCCCTATTACGGAAAAATTTCCAGTTATAAGAATATCATGGGGTGTGAAGTGCAGATCATCAAGACCTGAGCTGAACCTTAAACAAGGCTTTTATAGTAGCAGTAGCTTTGTAAAAACAGCACTTACTTATATAGCACTTCACAGTCTCCTCTAAGCAGTTTACAGAGTCAGCCTATTGCCCCCAACAATCAGTGTCCTCATTTGTACCGACCTCGGAAAGATGGAAGGATGAGTCAACCTTGAGCCTGGTGAGAATCGAACTGCCAAATTGCAGGCAGCCGCCAGTCAGCAGAAGTAGCCTGCAGTACTGCATTCTAACCACTGCATCACCGTGGCTCTTCGTATTCATTTTGACCTCCCTTAATAGTGGTAAATATTTCATTCCACTTGTAATATTTTCAATTTATTTATTTTGCATTTCTTTGTCATTCCACAGATTCAAGGTGCTTCTGTCAGATCAGCCCAAAGTTGTGCGGTTCATTTCACTTGGTGAGAGGTAACTCAGATAATCACAGAAAGATGGATGGGAACATCTTAAAAACTTTTATTTCTGCAAAGTTACAAGTATTCCTCGACTTAGGACCACACACTTGAGCCCAACATTTTGGTTGTTAAGCAAGACAGTGAAGTGAGTTTTTTCCCCTTTTTACAACTTTTTTTTTTTTTGGCACAGTTCTTAAGTGAATCACTACAGTTTCTAAGTCAGTAACATGGTTGTTAAGAGAATCTGGCTTTCTCATTGATTTTGTTTATCAGAAGGTCACAAAAAGTGATCACATGATCACACGGCACTACAATTTTTCATAAACATGAGACAGTTGCTAAGCTTCCGAAATTCTGATCAGGTGACCACAGAGATGCTGCAATGATGATAAGTATGAAAAACAGTCATAATTCACTTTTTTTCAATGGTAACTTTGGTTGCAAGTCGAGGACTACTTCTATTTACACTCAGGATCAGGGATGGGATTCTGCCGGTTCAGCCCAGTTCGGGCGAATCGGTAGCTCCAAGGATCATCTGTGAGTGAATCGGTTTGCTCCAATGATGAGCTGTTGGGCCTACCCACCCGCCCCGGCTCTATTCTGACCTTTATTTCCTGGTTTTGAAGCTCAGCTGCTTCGCGCGACACAGTGGATTGCCGTGCATCAGCTGTTTAACACAAAGGGAGATTGCAGGATTGCAGAAGAAAGTCACATACCCCTGCTCAGGATTAATGTCTCAAAGCAAGCACGCCACATCTCACAATAGGTATTTAGACAGATCATACATCATACTACCAATTCTCTGCGACTCACTAAATTTA